ACTCAGGTCTGTGAGAAAACAAAAGCTTCTTTCAGATGCCATCTCGACCTGCCTGCACAGGAACACGCCTCAGCTGCCAGATTGCTTCCTCATGTTTTCTCTCAACCTTGTCAGTCTGGTTTTAACGTCGAACCATTTTGTGTGCCCTCGCTGATCTCTCCTCCTCCTTCTCCTCCTCCTCCAGGTAGACGATTTATACCTGATCGCCATCGTACATCAGAGGAACATCAAGAGTCTGAGAGACCTGACGTCGGAGCATCTACCGCTGCTGCAGAACATCTTCCAGAAGGGAAAGGTGAGTTTAAACTGATCCTGACGGGTGGAAAAAAAAATGAACTAAACCAGAAACACAAATGCTAAAAATGTGTGTATCTGTGATTCAGGAGCAAATCCTGCAGCGCTACAAGCTCCCATCCAGTAAGCTGAGGGTCTACCTGCACTACCAGCCCTCCTACTACCACCTGCACGTCCACTTCACCAAGCTGGGCTACGAGGCTCCGGGCTGCGGCGTCGAGCGAGCCCACCTCCTCGCCGACGTCATCCAGAACCTCCAGTCCGACCCGCGGTACTATGAAACCCGGACGCTGTACTTCCCCCTGAGGGCAGATGACGGGCTGCTGAGCAAGTTCAAGGAGGCAGGAAGGCTGTGATGGACTGTAGGTTTCCATCCTCTTCTAGAAAGTCCGATGACGTCGGAGTCCGTCCATTCTGCAGGAGAGCAGTTTGATTGTTTTAATGTCCCAGAACCAAGTTTTGTATGACGGTGTTTTAAACTTTTATTGTTCTGTTTTTGATGGATGCATCATTAGCTCGTGTTTTTCTGATCATGACGAGGACAGAACACAGGAGTGGACGAGACAAACCAGTGGTCATCATTATTTTCTGTTTTTAAGACGTTTTTTTCATGTTTGTCTGAATTAAAGTCCCTTTTTTCTACTGAAGCTGTGTCAAATGTGGGTCTTTCTATATATACACTTTTTACTCTTTATAGTTTTTACTTGAGTTATTCTTTTTCTTCGATTTATTATGCTATTTTGGTGCTTTTTGTATCCATCAGTGTTTGCTTTACTGATTAATTTTGTTAAACTTTTACAGTGGTTTAACTATATTTCTTTACTTTTTGTTTCTCTGGTCTCTTAAACACCTTTTGAAAATGTTGTTTTCAAAGTTCCTCTTGCTGTTATTATTACTATTATTATTATTATTATCTTAGGAGGTTTTCTGCCTCCCTTTTCTTAATGTTTTTACTTGTTTTAATCCTTAGATGGTTCTTCTGTGTACGGCAAAATCTAAATCATTGTACAGGCTCAGTTTTCTTTTTTAAAATAGACTGTTTATCAGCGTTTTTGACCTCGTGTGCTGATCTTTCTTCATGCTGGTGAACTCTAATGGTGAATACATGACATGAAACCTTTTAACTCAGGTCTATTAGTGCGATTCACCGGTCCAGGTTCATATTGTAATTTATTTAGATACTAAAGTCTTCACCTGAACACAACACTAGATGGCAGCATTCATCCTAAAACTTTTAAACTGTTACTGAAACTCCAAAACCAAACCTCAGCTCTCTGAACATCAGGCTGACTTTCTGTTTGTCTCTCGTCTTCATCAAATAAATCAAATGCTGACTTGTTTGCTGCAGGTTTTGTAAACAGGAGGCCGGTTGGTTTCCACCAAACTGTATTTAACTTCCGTCTGCTCACAAACTGCTGCTGTTTAGTTGGTTTGGTACCACAAAGCCAGAAGCTCTCAGCTGCATCCACAAACACTCCTGCAGTGAAGCTGATGCACAAGAAAGTCTGACAAACAAACAAAGTCTGACGCTCTGAGCTGCTCTGGATGTTTGACTTTAGTGTTTTTACACTCTGGAGCTGCTCAGACCTGATGCAGGAGGAAACTGTTGGTTATTTAGAGCATTTCTTGCAGCAAACATCATTTTCTTATCTCATCTGGAGTCAGTTGGGCGGTGCTCCGCTTTGTGCTGAGGGTGCGTTCATGGGTAGCTCGTAAAAATGTCAACTCCTTCACAATAAAGAGAAAAAAGTGAAAATGTGTTCCTTACAAATTAGATTTTTTCAGAAGCCTTTTGTGATTTATCGAACCTTAAGGATTTAGAGCTTTAAAACACACAAAGAGAAATGGTCAAGTGTTCCAGTTATGTGATCAATATGATGTGGAAAACCATGAACTGAAAAAAGTTTTTAAAATATCAGTTGGATTGTAAAATGAATATTAAAAGGATTTATGGATCATATGAAGGATTTAGCTTTGACTTTAGTAACCACACAGAAAACAACAAACTTAGCAAATATAACAAAGGCTGCAGTCTAAGACATATACTATGCTAATTTATGCTATGGTATGCTATGCTAATCTATGCTATGGTATGCTATGCTAATCTATGCTATGGTATGCTATGCTAATCTATGCTATGGTATGCTATGCTAATCTATGCTATGCTAGTCTATGCTACATGTCTGATTCAGATTTTATTTTAAACTATTATTGGCTGCAGAATGTGAAATATCTAAACGCTGCTCCTGAACTATGACTAACTGACCTGTTTCAACGTCAGACACTGTTCACAGAAACCTGCTATCTTCTTGTTGAAACGATTTTATTTGTTTGTTTGTTTATTATTAACTTAATGTGGTCTCAGCTTTTGAGATAATTGTTCTATCTCCTATGCTATAAAAAAAACACAAGTTTAAAGCAGGAATATCTCGGGTTCTTAGAATCTCATTAGACTTAGGAGCAGCTGATTAATTACTTTCGTTGATGTCTCCTGTTGTAATGATCCATAATGTGTTTAAATCTATTACACACCGAGTATCTCTTAGAAAAATTGCAATTAGATATTGTCTCTAAGCAGTGCAGTGCTGCTTGTGTGTGCAATATTTTATTTAACCATAAATTCAAATGTTAAATCCTGGAAGCAGAACTGAAAACACTCACAGATTTTTTTTCTTGTGGTACATTAAACTGATTATACGCCTTCATGTGTAGGTTTGCATATTAATTGCAATAATAGATTTCAGAATAACACACATTTTAAGTATCCAATGAATCTCCGAGAAAGCAAATGCATCAGAAATCACTGATTAAAAATAGATTGAATAGAGACTAGATTCAACTTTTTTTGGCACTGGACAGAGTACGAAGACAACAAAGTGCAGTTTGGCCTCTAACCAGGAGTTTATTTACAGTTTGGTGTCTGCAGTTTGTTCCAGTATAAACAGAACTGACAGAGTGCTACGAACACACTAATGAGTATGTAGATGTGGTGATAATATCAACTAGACAATCTAAATCCACAGGTGGAGATAAACACTGGTATGAACAGTATGCAGCGTATGAACTCAGCCAGTTAACATTACAACTGCAAATGAGGATATGAGACCATCAGAAGTCACAATAAAAGGAAAACAAGCTGCTGTGTGTTGCATGTTTGCAGTCATTTTAGAAAAAGGATTTCCACCTTATTTATTATTCACT